TTTTTTTTTTTTTTTTAAATATCCTTGACACAGCGCGCGAAAGGACCTTGAGATCCTCCCAACTATTAAAAGATCCTCGATCAAAAATACCTGTCGTCTATCTTTGGTATACGCGCGACGCTCGATCTGTCCTCGATTCATCGATCTCTCGGACTACAAAAACAACCTTCCTCGCCCCTCGAAAAGTTTCCGCGTAACGCACGCTCGCGTTAATCCGCGGACGGAGACGTCACTGGCGCACGCGGGTTTCAGCTGATCCAATGCTCACCTGCGCAATGCGCCCGAAACTGCGATGCGTGCATGTTTCGTCGCACCTGTTCGTCAACTGTTCCGCAATGGCGCGATTACCAACGGAAACGGAAATGTCACTGGGTCAAGAGGACTCGAGGAGGTCCCAGCTCGAATTGAGAAGCGAGTCAGTCTCGTTTCTCGAAGCAACATTCTACATTTCATTTTTAGCTTTACGTATGCTAACAATAAGTCGCTGTTAACTCTGATAGATAGTTATTCTCGTAGAGTTCAATAATTAATATATATATATTTTTAAAGTAAGTTTTGGCCAACTAACTAATCAGGTTTTCAATTTTAATTAATTACGTTTTGCAGTGAACGTCTCGAGAAATACTTATTTCTCAAATACGCATCTCGTGCAATTCAGTAAGCGTTGAAAATGTTTCTCTATTCTTTCCACAACTTGATACTTTTAACAATCCGAACAACCGTTGCGAGTGACTATTAATCACTTAGCCAATTTACATTAATCACTCGCAGACATCGCAGACAACGAGACCCTTGATTTAAATCAAGAAAAAGGCTTCGTGGCCTCCGAGACTTTCGACTCGTTAGCGCGGAATTCACCAGTGAACTGCATCAGTGTTTGCAACGAATTTAATTCACAAGCGCTCGTCGATGAAGACACACGTCGACGAAAGAACAAGAATCGAGCAACGAGAGAAGGAAGCAAACGGAAGCAATTCCTGATGACAAACTCGTTGAATTTGAAGCACCGTCACAGAGAAACACTTCCGTCAAATTACATGCATGTACTTGGCTCATCAGGATCGGTGTTGCTGATTTACCGGTATTGAAGCGCGCGAGGAAAGCAAGATGAGCAGGATCGCGGGAAGCATGGAAACGAAGCATATCGGTCGTTGCGCGCACACACGGGCCAGCTGTCAGCAGCTGCTCACCTCCGATCACTCTCGCCAACGAGCACTGGTCACTGATCCGGCCCGGTCAGCGCCAGCTGACCAATCGGCGATCCACCAACGTCCCGTCGTTGAAAACACCGTGTGCCGCGTTCAAAAAGCTGCGCGCATCGCGTCGCGGCGACGCACGCGGCGCTTGTGCGTGCCCGCAGCAGCACACAGCGGCCGACGCACCTGTTTCCTCGGTGCAGTGACGTAACACACACACACACACATACACACACATACACACACGACGAGCTGGCTCTCTCTCGCGATTCTCGTGCCCTGATTCGAGCGAGAACACCGAGCGTCGACACACGGCGGGAATGCGCCGGGAGAAGAGACAGAGAGAGAGAGAGAGAGAGAGAGAGCTGAGGAGCTACTGGCTGGAGAGAAGACGCAGCGACGAACGCGAAACGTTCCAGCTCCGTCTCAAAACACGTCCCGACGTCGGGGGCGTCGCGACGGATTAAAGGCCGCATAGGTGGCCGCCGTGTCGCCATGCGCCGCGCCGCCAAGCCGGCCCCCGCGGGCTATCATCGCGATCGATAGAAATAAGCTGACTCTCGCGCGTTTCCACCACTACCACCCTCGCCGCCGTCCCCTCCTACACTGCCGAGTTCTCCCCCTATCGCGGAAACGGGGCCAAACCCGGAGGGAGGCTTTCCGCGAAAGAGCCGCCGCCACTCCTCGCCACTTTCCATTTTTCCAACACCACCGGCCGTTTGTCTCTGGTCTGGGATTCTTGGATTTAAGGGCTGGTACAGCGAGGGGAATTGAGGAATACTTTGCAACGTAGAATGCAACATGCAACGTTGCGAAACGTTCGCCCAGTTGGCAGATCACGGGTGTTGGAATTAGAGATTAAAGATGCGAAAATTGTGACTGATTTTCAGTCCAGGTGAGACATTAATTTACAGAATTACAATAATATTACGAATGATAAGTTGACAAGTTGTGAACTTCTCTTTTACAAGTGAAGCAAGATAAAGCAATCAAATAAACGCCAATTCGTTAAATTTATTAATTTCCTGCGTTACGAAATTTGACGCTTGTTACTCGCAACTTGCAATTTACAAAATTTCGTGAATAATATCGATTGAATCGTGCCGGATTAGCCTGCCAATATATTTCCACCGAAGTGGAACGAGAAGAGTGAAATAAAATAAAAATTCAAAAAGGCGGAGAACTTTAATACAAATTAAGTTATGTTTTTTCCAATGGTCATCGTGTATCGAAAACGCGCCATTGAGTGTTATAACTTGAATATAAAAGCACTCGCGATATATATTAATACTAATATATTATTATAATATACCATTAATACTAATATATCACTCTGTATTTATAAAAAGATATTTCATTATGTATAGCTATTTAATTATTAAATATTTATGTTGATGATCGATCAAATTTTTATTGTTCGAAGAATTTAATATTGTAGATAATAGATTTGTGAATATATCATTCTGTATTTATAAAAAAATATTTTATTACAAGTGTAGCTATTTAATTATTAAATATTTATGCTGACGATTAAATTTACAACATTTTGGTTGTATTTTGTATCGAAGAATTTAATAAAAAAAGTATTTTATTATAGGTACATAGTATCAAGGTAAGATAGAGCGGATCGTGCTTTTCAGGAAATTCAACATAGAAAAGAAATATCTATTCGCGTGTACTTACGATGCGGCTATTGAACTGGTTCCCGCCAGTAGATAGAGCCACACTTGACCGAGATTTCGGCGGTAACAAGCTCATATGCGCCGAAAACCCGATGACGAACCTTCTGCTCACCTCGCCAGCTTGTATCGAATTTGTACGGGCGTGGATCGCAGCTAATTGCAACGGCGAACGTAATCGAAGCCAGCCTTGCGGGAGTGGAAATTTCACTCGAACGTATCGCTTCTTCGATTGACCTACTTGCAC